TCAGAGCTTGGTTCAAGGCTTCGTAAAGTGTCTGTTTTTTTTTTTTTTTTTTTTTTTTAGTATTCTGTGACCAGTTTCTTAGGATAAACTTTAATTAGGTCCACTAAATTCGAACTTGAAAAGTTTATAGGTGAGAATGACTTTGGTTTGTGGAAAATGAAGATGGAAGCAGTATTGATCAAGGAAGGGCTAGCCTTTCCCCTAAAGGAAGAGACTGAACTACTAGAGTCCATGAAAGATTCTGAGAAGCAGGAAATGCTAGACAAAGCCAAAAGCTCCTTGATCGTTGGATTGGGTGACAAAGTCCTTCGGGAGGTCAAGAAGGAGAAGACAGCTGCTGAAATTTGGAAAAGGTTAAACTATCTCTATCAATCTAAAACTATCCCTAATAGATTATTTTTAAAGCAAAGGTTGTTTGGCTTTAAAATGGATGATCAGAAATCTTTGAAAGATAATAAAGATGATTTTTTGAAAGTGATTCATGATGTAGAAAATATTTCTGTAGATACTGGGGATGAGGATCAGGCAGTAATCTTGTTGAATTCTTTACCTAAATCTTATTCTAACTTTGTGGAAACCCTTAAATATGGTAGACAAACACTGAAGTTAGAAGAGGTAGTAGAGGCTATCTCTGCCAAGGATAGTGAGAATAGGATGAGAAATAAAAACAGTGGTGATGGTGAAGGTCTTAATGTTAGAGCGAGATCAGATAGGAAGAATTGGAAAAAGGGAGGGCTAAATAGGAACAGGTCTAAATCTAGGTCGGGAAATAGAAAATGTTTCTTTTGCCATAAGGAGGGTCATTTTAAGAGAGACTGTCCTAAGAGAAAGAACAAGTAGAAACCTGAAAGAGATAGTGAGGGAGGCAGTGCTGGTGTAGCATCTGAGGGATATGAAAGTTCTGAAGTTTTAGTTATTTCTGAGGGTAAAACCAGTGAGGAGTGGATCCTAGACTCAGGGTGTACCTACCACATGACACCAAATGGAGAATGGTTAAGCTCATTTCAACCTTTAGATGGTGGGAAAGTAATGATGGGGAATAATGTTGTGTGTCATATAAAAGGTATAGGCACAGTTAAGCTAACTCCTCAAAGTGGTGTAACTAAAACTCTTACAGACGTTAGATATATCCCTAACCTAAAAAGGAATTTAATCTCACTAGGAACCTTAGATTCTAATGGGTTTAGCTATAAGGTAGCAAATGGCAACCTTAGTGTCATGAAAAGATCTCTAGTTGTCATGAAAGCTGAGAAGAGAAATGGGTTATATGTGTTAAAGGGTAGAGTGGAGAGTGGATTGCTGCTGTTGGGTCAACGAAAGTTCAAGATAGAACTTTATCGTGGCATCAAAGACTTGCTCATGTTAGTGAAAATGGCTTAGTAGAACTAGGCAAACAAAACCTGCTGTGTGCGGATAAGATTGGAAGTCTAATTTTTTGTGAACATTATGTCTTTGGAAAAATGAGTAGAGCTAAATTTGGATCTGGTCAACACTACTCAAGTTCACCACTTGAGTATGTTCACTCAGATGTTTGGGGGCCATCTAGGCACTACTCACAGGAGGATGTAGATACTTCATTAGTTTTGTTGATGATTACTCTAAATATGTGTGGATCTACTTCCTTAAAACCAAGGATGAGGCATTCTCTAGGTTTAAAGAATGGAAAGTCATGGTAGAAACACAAACTGGAAATAAGTTAAAGAAACTTAGGATTGATAATGGTCTAGAGTTTGTAAATGAAGAATTCAACAGTTTCTATAGGATACATGGAATTGTGAGACACAAAACAGTACGAAATACCCCACAACAAAATGGTTTTTGTGAGAGGATGAATAGAACCATTTTAGAAAGGGTTAGGAGCATCATGTCTAGCTCTAAGCTGCCAATTAAATTCTGGGCAGAGGCAGCACACACAGCAGTCTACCTAATCAACAAAACTCCATCTTCAGCAATAGGTTTTACGGTTCCTCTAGAGAAGTGGACTGGTTATCCTGTAAAACTAGAAAATCTTAGAGTTTTTAGATGTCTAGCTTATGTCCATGTTAGAGAAGACAAATTAAAACCTAGAGCTCTTAAATGTATCTTCTTAGGATATCAAGATGGGGTAAAGAGCTATAAACTCTGGAACTTAGAGTCTAAGAAATGTATCATCAATAGAGATGTTGTTTTTAGAGAAGAAATCCTACCTGGCCTTGGAAATGATTCTAAAAATTTAGAGGGCAGTCCTTCAGGAGCAGATTTCTTAGAACTAGAACTTCAAAACCCAAAAGTAGATCAAACTGTGAATCAAGGTGGAGCTGATGACATTCAAGCTGAGGAAAATAATTCTAAAAATTCTGTGGGTGATCAAACTGGTGAACTTGAAGGTGAGCAATTGAACCATGATGACGAATTAGGGCTGTCAAATTACCAACTATGTAGAGATAGAGTTAGAAGGGTAATCAAACCTTTAAATAGATTAGGGTATGCTGATCTGGTGGCTTATGCTTTACAAGTTGAAGATGATATTTGTGATGAAACCAAGTCTTTTCAAGAGGCTGTGTCAGGACCAGAAAAATTGCAATGGCTTAAAGCAATTGAAGAAGAGTTTTCTTCTCTGATAAAGAATGAAACCTGGGTTTTAGTAGATAAGCCAAGAAATTGTAGAATGGTCAAATGTAAATGGATTTTTAAAAGAAAATCTGGATTTAACCCAACTGAGCCACCAAGGTATAAGGCTAGGCTGGTCGTAAAGGGGTTCACACAACGGAGGGCATAGATTACAATAAGATTTTTTCCCCAGTTGTCAAGCATTCCTCTATCAGAATTCTGCTGTCACTTGTTATCCTATTTAATCTTGAACTAGAACAATTGGACGTAAAGACAACTTTTACATGGAGATTTGGAAGAAACCATTCTGATGGAGCAGCTAGAAGGACACAAAAATGTTACAAGTAAAGTCTGTCTACTTAAAAAATCCTTGTATGGTCTGAAACAATCACCATGACAGTGGTATAAAAAGTTTGATTCATTCATGATTGAAATAGATTTTAATGGATGCAATTATGATAGTTGTTTCTATTTTAAAAGAGTTTCTGAACTAACTTACATTTTCCTACTTTTGTATGTTGATGATATGCTTGTGGCTTGTCATGAACAATCTAAGCTGGCTTAGTTGAAAAAGATTCTTAACACCAAATTTGAGATGAAAGAGCTGGGTCAGGCTCAAAAGATTCTTGGGATATCAATCATTAGAGACAGAGCTTATGAAAGTTTGAAGTTGGTTCAGCAAGATTATGTTGAAAAGATTCTGCAGAAGTTCAATATGAAGGATGCAAAGGTTGTCCAAACTCCTCTTGGTCAGCATTTAAGCTGTCCTAAGATCAAAGTCCCCAAATTGCAGAGGAAAAACTTGAGATGTCATCAATCCCTTATGCTAATGTGTTGGGTAGTCTAATGTATTTGATGATATTTTCAAGACCCGACTTGGCCTATTCAGTAAGCATTGTGAGCAGGTTTATGAGTAATCCGGGGAAAATCCATTGGTCTGCATTAAAATGGATCTTGAGGTACATAAAGGGAACCAATTCAGTAGGTATAGTGTATAGGAGGAATTAGAAAGAAGATTGCTGTGTTAAAGGATTTGTTGATGCAAACTATGCTGGTGATGTTGATAGAAGGAAATCAACTTCAGGTTTTGTCTTTACGGTATGGGGAAACATTGTTAGTTGGAAGTCTAAGCTCCAACACATGGTTACATTGTATTCAACTGAATCCAAGTATGTGGCACTAACAGAGGCAGCAAAAGAAGCAAAGTGGCTGAAGGGTTTTGTGACTGAGTTAGGTTTAAGACAGAGGGCTGTAACAGTTTACAACGATAGTCAAAGTGCCATACATCTTTGTAAAAATCAAGTATTTTACAAACAGACTAAACACATTGATGTTCGACTCCACTTCATTAGAGAGATGATTGATAGAGGTGAAATAAAGGTTGAAAAGGTGGACGGTTCTCACAATCCAGCAGATATGTTTACAAAACCTATCACTGGTGACAAACAAAGGCTCTGTATGAGCCTTCTTAGTGTTACCTGAGTAGAAGCCTATTTTTTCCAAGGCCAAATAGGATGTCAAAACAAAAGCCAAGGTGGAGAATTGTGGTGACGTGGCTTGTGTTTTGCCACGGTGGAATCAAATTGTTGTAGAGACGTCATTTTTAGAATGAGCTAAAGAGGGTTTTTTCAAGTCATTCGATTCAGCCCTCATTTTTCATCTCTAACAGCATTTGTTCCATAATGTGCTAAAGGGAGACGAAATATGTTACTCATCTACGGCTGGATCTTTTTAGGGTTCCAAGTGGAGGCTGATCCTGGAAGGTGACTCATGTATAAATTGATTCCATTTGTTATGGATTTGTAGCAAGGGGAAAAGGGAAGAAAGCTAGGGTTTCTTTGGGTTGTATTCTTCTTTGCTCATTTCATTTTTCTTTATTCAATACTTTGTAAATTGTCCTCTTGACTATGATAGTAATGACATCTTATTTGCGTCTTGAAGAGTGGATGTAGGCTACCCAGCCGAACCACTATAATTTATTGTGTTGATCTTTATATCTTTACTTGATATGTTGTTTGTTAATGCTTGATGATTCAGAGATCTTAATCTGTGATTACTTCGTTGTTTTGGAGATTGGTTGTTTTTCAGAGATCTTAATCTGTGATTACTTTGGTGTTGTTTGGAGATTGTTTGTTAATCAGAGATCTTAATCTATGTTTATCATCTTGTTATATAGTTGGTTAGTTAGGCATAGAGCTGTAATCTGTGATAACTCAGGACAAAAATGTAACAGAAGCAATATGTAAAAATAATAAATAAATAGTTGGTAGTAGCGAATGATGTTAAATAATTTGGATAAATACACAAACATAAAAAAAATCAGTTCAAGAAATGTGGATAAATATTAACCTATGAATACAAAATGCAACCATTGAAGTTATGCTAGAGCCGGCTCTTGAAGCAACAAGTTCTCAGAGACAACCACAGTTATATCGAGCATGACCAAATTTGTCCATAAACAAAGCACCCAAAAGCACAAAAATTATCAACTTCACAAGCAATGAAGAAGAATCCAACAATGAACCAACAAGTAAAGATTGTATAGACAATTTAACCAATTTCATTCTTCTCGCATTCACATATTCATCCATTGCTTCTTCAATTATCTTCTGACCTTTGAATATTTTATGATCATTATTGGCATGAAATTTTCTTGCCATGCATCTAGCAAGTACAACTGCATCTTCTATACCCGTTGAGCCACCCTGGCCAATGGATGGTGTCATTACATGCATCGAATCTCCAGCAACTGTCACGGTTCCTTTTCGAAATTGGCCTAGTAATATGTCCCATGGGGCACGGTAACGCAAATGGCTAAATGTTAGGTTAGAAAGGTCACAGTTTTGTACCACATCTATCATTTTCTTAGGGAAACCCTTCATGGTTTCTAGAGTCATTTGTTTGATTATCTTTGGATCTTTGAATGCCTTTAAATCTGTAGTAAACATAACAAATTAAAATGATTAAGAAATTTATTGAGATAAGCTGATTAAATAAGTGAAAAAATTCCCTGAAACTTGAATTAGAAGAGAATCTTGATCCACCAATCATCAATTAGTCATGATCTAAAACGTTTTTCCTTACCTATCTTTTAAGTATGCCTTATGACTTGTATTGTAGATACTTAAATATTTATGTATATGGTTCTTCTATCTTTTGAGTGGTCTAAACTATGAAAAGGAGATTTGTAATATTTGAATTGGGGAAATATGATAATTTCCATCATGAATTATAAGTATTAGAAAACAATTTGTCAGAATTCCATTTTACCTGGTCTTTAATTTCTAGTTGAAAGCCAATAATGAAAATGGAGAGAAAAGAAACCCCTTACTACAAAAATTTGTGAAATTTTCTATTGAATGGTACATAGTTATACATTGGCTAGTAAGATGAAATAAAGAAAACAATTATCTAATCAACACTCATGACATAAGGATGCATAAAAACACTATTTTTTGGAAGTTTGATGCGAGAAATTTTGCCTTCTTGATGTGATTATTACACTAAAAGATAAAATCCTGATCAATTAATCATAGGATTAATATTACTTTATAGAAAATGAGAATAATCCCCCCTATTCTGAAACGCTCTTCCTGAATGATCTTATTCTATTAACCACTAATTACAATATTAATATTTGTTAATATAACGAGAGAACCATGATCATTAAATAAACCGATATTTAAAAGCTTAATTAAAGTCATATAAATGCATACCCTGAGGATGCCATTGGTGATTTACGAAACAGAAAGCCAAATTATCAGTGACCGGAGCTAATCCAAGCATAGTGTTATCTCTTCTAGTTTGGACAAACTCACGGGCAAATCCATGACCATTAGGAAAATATGTAAATCCTCTCACTCCACATGAAGAGTGAAGCTTCTTGGGTTTCAACTAAAGAAAATCAGCAACCACCGAGTTGGCTCCATCACAGCCAATCAACACCTGCAATCACATAACTCCTAATTATACAAGTAAAATTCATTAACCATTAATAAACTTTTATGTATATTAAAGAGTTAAAAAATTATCCTTGAGGTTTGATTAACTGACATCAATTAGCTTAAGGTTTTTAAAATAATAAAAATCTACTCACTGTTAAGTTTTAGGTACTAAAATAAACGATCCAAGAACAATTTGATAAACATTTAATTATAATTCATAATAGGGGAGGGCAACATTTTTTTTAACAATCTGGTACTTTGTTTATTGGTAATGGTTAATGTTAAAAGACAAAATTTTGTATTATTAGACCTCATAGTGATTATATATATATGATACAAATATTCATATCATAAAAATATGTTAACTAATAGCCAAAATTGCATTTATATAATAGTTATATAAACTTCTCTAATATGATATTAATTATATTAGTATCATAGAACAAAATATGCAATTATTATAGCGGTTCATTAGTATTGAAGAATATAAAATACCTTGGCTTTAATTGTAGTGCCATTATTCAATTGAAGAATGGGAAAAGATGTGTTTGTGTCCAATTTCAAAGAGACAATTTTGCATCCAAAGCGTATTGTACCTAGTGGGAGATCTTGAGCTAGAGCTTCAATTAGATCACTTCTTTTTACCCAACGAGTTTCCCCAATGTTCCTGCCAATTAATATTAAAATTATATGATGATTAATTTTGTTTCTTAATTAACTTTAATTTCAGTTGATTAAGTTTCATTTTCTTGTCAAAAATTTACCACCAAACATTAATTAAATGCATGGTAATGATATTAAAACTTACGAGTAGGAGATAATTTCTTCTTGTTGCTCGCTGCCATTGAGAAATATTTCTCGTATCCTGTGTATTTACTTTAATCAAAGTTGATTATGATGAGAGATAAGAATAATAGAATGACCGATAGATATAGCTACACCAATCCTAAAATGAAATAAAAAAAAAAAAGTCTTCGATATGATGAGCAATATATGTACGTCGAGATTGATAAGAACCACCATTGAATTCTGGCCTTCTGATGTTATTAATTAATAATGTGAAATTAACCTTTGAAGGAGAATGGTACTTGGCCTGAGCTTTGAACCAAAGCCAAGCACATCCAAAGCTTTCCATCCATTAGGCTGAATTGCAATGGCGCGCGCCAACGCCCCCCCTCCCCCCACCCCCCGCTGCTCTCAATGATTCTGATTTCTCAAACACCACACTCTTCATTCCCTTCCTGCAACATTAAATGTCAAGACAATGATTCAACACATAACATGTAACGTCTATTGTTATAAAAATGAACAAAGAGGTTTACCTGTGAAGAGCAACATCAATTACAACATCAAGATCTTCAAATATTGCACGATCCATTTCTTTGTTCCCGCTCGGAATGAGATAATTGATTGTAATGTAAGTTTATAAGTTTATAAAATGGTTGCTACTACAAGCTAAGCTTACTTCTATTTATATAAATGGAAGTGTGTACGACAAAGTGATTTCATTTTCAACAATGAGTATGTGAACTAGCTGATCCATTTGAAACTTTCCTAAGCATGTGAACTTCTGCATTTATTTGTTTATTTAAATTCAGAATATTATTTTCTTATCGTCTTCTTTCATAGCTTCAAGTTCAATACAAATTGTGGTCAAATCTTAGGCATCCATGCAAATAGATTGTACAAGTTTTAAGCATGCCAGCATTTCCATTTATTTATTTTTAAAAAATTTTTAAATATTTTTTAATGGGAATTTATGTCTTTTTAAAATTTTTAGTTAAATTTAACAACAATTAATAGATTTTTGTCTTTTTTTTTCTTTGCTTTAGAACTTTGTGTTCTTTCTAATGAGTTTTTGAAGAAAAGTGCCAGCAAATTGACAAAACACTTCTAGGAATGAAATTGATCAAGTTAAAACCAATTTTCTTAGGGTCTTTAGCCACCCCTGAGTTAAAGCTAATAACAAAAATCCATCTGAGATATTAGAAATAACAAAAATATCTTTGATGGTAGTTAGCTGTTATAACATTTGGCCCCTAAATATGGCAGAGTATTGAAATCCCAAAATTGCCCTTGAAGACATGGCATAAAATTCGGAAACCCAAAATGCCCTTTTTTAGAAGTATTAAACTAAATTATAAAGGGTTGTGAAAGTTAGGGATTTCGTGAAGGTTAGGGATTTGAGAGCAAAAGCTCAATGAAGAAGAAGAAGAACTCCCCGTGTTTTTCATTAATGAACAGTGTTACAAACAGTGTTACAAAGTCAGCTTTAATAGCTGATTATTACAATTCAAAACGGCAATACTTTGGCTTTATACAAATGTCACCGTTTCACAATTTGTCTTTGTCTAACAGCCCCAGTCAAACTAAACTCTACTACTTATACTTTTGACTTGACATGTTTGTCCAACAGCCCCTGTCAAGCTAAGCTCTACTGCTTGCAGTTTTAGCTTGCCATGTTTGTCCAACAGCCCCTGTCAAGCTATACTGCACTTTCACAGCCTCACATCTGCATATTCATATCTTCTCTTCTGCACTTTCATAGCTAAACATGAAACATTTACACTTTCATACGACATTCACACTTGTTCAGCTACAGGTAAATTTAGACTAACACCTTACAACAAAATACCATGTGAAAGTTAGGGATTTCGTGAAGGTTAGGGATTTGAGAGCAAAAACTCAGTGAAGAAGAACTTCCCGTGTTTTTCATTAATGAACAGTGTTACAAAGTCAGCTTTAATAGCTGATTATTACAATTCAAAACGGCAACACTTTGGCTTTATACAAACGTCACCGTTTCACAATTTGTCTTTGTCTAACAAGGGTAACAAGGTAATTTCAAATTGTAAGTGTAATTCTTTATTTTAATCTGCTTTTAAAAAGGAAAAAAAAAATCTAAGAATAGTTTTTTTTTCCCTCTCTCTTTTAATTCATTTAAAAATAATATAATAACATTTCTTTTCTCTTTAATTCTTTTTTTTCTTCTATCTGCCTTTTCTAAAGATATAATAAATCACCATTTTGTTTCTTTCTCCTTTTTAATTTTGCAACCTCCACCGCCACTACAACCCAATAGCTACGCCTCCACCACACTAACCCCACGGAAATTGCACCAGCACCATGCCCTCCCCCCATCGGCATTCATTGACAACAATGACCACACCCATTAGCCTCCGGTACAGCACACCACCACTGCGCCCTAATCGGATCCCATCTCTATTGTAATCACACCACATCGATGTAACATATATTATAATGATATAATTTGGAGATAAGATTTATAAATATGTAATATTGATATATCTTTTAAATTTACATGGTGCCATTTTTTAGAATTAGTGATTGTGAAGTTAGAGATTTAAACATGTTTTTTTTCTCTTTGTTTTGCATTAAATATATGGGGTGTTTTTGCCTTCATCTTTTCTTGAATTTACAATTTATGTGTTATTGTCTTTGAGAATATACATGGAAATTAAAGATGTCTTTTGTATTAATGGTTTTGTAGGTTGTGAAAATTAGGGGTGAAAAAAATAATCTGAAAACTGAACCGGACCAAAAATTCGGTTTTTTCGGTTTCGGTTCGATTATTAAAAAAACCGAAAATCCATTTCAGTTTCGATTTTTGGCAAAATAAAATCTGGTTACCTAGAACCAGTTTTCTGAACCAAAAATTAAAAAAAATTTGTGGTATTGTTTATTTGTTTTTACGTTGTTTACTCTTGACTCTTGTCACTCTTGTCTAACACCAACACAAGTACACAACAGATCTACACTCATTCTCTGATTCTCAGACTTCTCACTGCCGCACGCCACAGCCGCATTCTCTATCTCTCATTGTCTGTCGGACTCACCTCACGCCATACACCGCAGCTACAGCTGCATTCTCTATCGGACTCACCTCATGGCTCACTCACCTCAGACCTCAGAAAGTCTCGCATTCTCTCTCACTCTCACTCTCACTCTCACTCTCACTCTCACTCTCACTCTCACGACTCACGACTCACGCTCAGTCTCATTCTTTGTCTCTGTCTCTCACTCTCTGTCGGACTCTCACTGTCTCTCTGTTTTCAGATCCGTCTTCTTACGTCGTCGTCGCTCAGCTACAGTCGCCGTTGTCATCTGTTTCCGGTGGGTTTTCAGATCTATGTTGTGACTTGCACGTTGTCTGTTTTCAGATCTGGGTTTTAATTTTGTATGTTGATATGTTGGAATCTGAACTGTTACATATGCTTGTATCACATGAACGGGCAAGTGAGACAAAGGAATATTAATTGATTATGGATATGGAAGTAGGGGTTTGTTACATATCTATTTGAAATGAAGTTGAAGATTCTGATTTTGTTAAGCTTTGATTTGCCATTCTGTAATGTGCTTGCATTCTCATGTGGGCGAGAAGGAACTGTAGGAACTGAATATTGAGAGACAGGAAAAGGATAAGCTTTACAGAGATGAACAATGCAGAATAGCGAATATCATGGAGGAGAGAGGCTAGCATCTTTCTTATCTGTTTGTAGGTTTCGTTTGTCATTTGATTTGCAAAAGGCTGATAATCTGTCTTGGTTAATTACCATACTGGGTATATGTAACATATCTATGGGTAGATGATGCTCAAGGGAGATATTTAGACTGCAATTTTTGTAGAACTATTTTGTTGCTTCATTACAGCCTGGTATGATTCTAGGATTCGTAATTTAGGAGATATATGAACTTTATGCATAACATTTCATGCATTATGATCTAGTTGATGCTGCACAATTAAAAGTTGAGCGTGGGGTATATGCCTTGTTGTTGGTCCCCCAGCATATAGGATTAGCTGTTTATTTCAATTTAAAGATC